CCCATTCAAATTATTGATACTTATTAATATTTTTGCTTTTTAAAAATTATAACTTCTCACAATAATTTAAAATTGTAGCAGAGATATAATAATAATATGTATTAGTGTTTTGAAAGGAGGGGCTGAGGCAGATAAAAGGAATGCATAAAAATAAATAAAATAAATAAATAAATAAAAGGAATGCATTAATAGTTTCTAGAAAATTTAAAACACGAATAAAGAGATTCATAAAAAACAAAACTTTTAATATGATTTTTATAAGTATAAATAATACAATGATTTATATAAATATTACTATATGCAAATAAAGGCAAATATTTAAAAATGGGTTAGGGATTGTTTCCTCATGTAGCTCATTTAAATTGAGAAGTGTTTTGAGTCTCTTTCGATTGTTATTAGTCAGGCCTTAATTTTATCGTATATATCATTGATTGTCTTAGTGTATGTCAGATGTATACTTACGGCCTCCAAATATTTTCATAAAACTTCTTTTAAAACTTCATTATAAATTTTCTTTGAGTCAAAAAATATTAGATAAGTCCTATCGAGAATAGTCTTCAAGTTTATAATTAAAAATAGACCATTGCTAATTTACGAAGGGTACTGACTTAATGAGAAGGTTATGTATCTTTTTTTAATATATATAAATTGATTCGAAAGTTGTCACTTTTGTCAATCAAAAATAGAATATGCCACTCAATTATTTAAGTTTGATTAATGGAGATATGGTGGCTGGATTCCATTAATAAATGAACGCTGCTGAGAGTGATGTTACTTTATCAAATAAAATTTTAACTGTTTGATGTAATTAAGAAGATTAATGACAGTTCAACCAATGCTTAACTTGCCAATTAAGCTAATATGGACTCCTTTGGATAGCTGAATTAGAGTTATTATTATTTTTTGGAAAAACTTATGTGAATTTGAAAACAGTTGTATTTATTTTTAGTAATAAACTTTCTTTATTTGAAATGCAAACTAACCAAACTGATATTTTTTTAAATAAAAAATTATATTTAAAAAATCAAATATTTTTCTCAGATAGTCAAGTACGGAAATTTCCTAAAGTCTTTTTTTCAAAACCAAATCCAAGCATCACCATAGTGGCATAGTCCATAGACCATAGGTTGCGGCGTTTACTAAAACTAGATGAAATAATAAAGTGGCGCAATGCTTGTCCTTTCCCATTTCAAATTATTTAAGGGTAAAATTGGTTTTTTCTTTAATTTTAGAATAACTATCCGTAATAAAATTATTTTTTGTTATAAAATCAAGTTAAGAACAATATAATTATAAAGAGAAGAAGACAAGATCAGTAGACGAAGGAGAAAAAATTTCTTCAAATTCAAGTGTGTCCTACAAATGGTGAATGATATCTCTATTTATAGTATTGAGATATCACCTCAAATGCCATAATGTTAAATGCTCAAACAAGTAGGTACATAGTTATCCACGAAGGTTCATATCACCTTGGAAAAATACATGCTTGAATTCAAGTAATCTATATATAATATAAAGGAGGATCTTCATCTTGCTGATGTGGTGATGTGACATGCATTAATGATCAGAAAAGGTATTTATTTATTTTCTTAAAATTTAGACATTTTTTTCTCTATTTTTTACACAATTATATTATTAATAATTATTAACTACTGATCAATTATACCTTCCTATAAATAAAGAATTCCAAAGGCTATCATTTTGCCATTTTTAAATTGTACTCATTTGATTACCTATAATCAATATTTACTTCCCCATAATTAGTGTGCTTAATTATAAAAAAAAAATAGTTACAGAATTTCATTAAAAAAATACATCCACTTAATTGCAGCTCTTTAATGAAAAAGGTACCCCATTTCTGCTCTTTAATATTTTAATTACTCTCTTTCCTTTTATTAGCATCTATTACATTTAATTTTTCCTTCCAAATATAACTGCTAAGTACATAATGATGCAAAAATACCTAATTGACTACAAATTAGCACTACTTGCAAACGTTTCACTTTTTTAAAAAAAATATATAATTGCAAACGTTCACTATTTTTTTTAATAATTTCAACATTAATGATTATATTTAAAAAAAAATTATAATTGCAACATTAATGATTATATTTAATTTTTTTTATAATTGCAATATTAATGATTATATTTAATTTCTAATAGCTATTTAAACTCCATTCATCCTCACTATTTTCCTAAGCATATTCTCCCTACAACTAATTAAATTTCTTTTACTTATTCTTCCTTTGAGAAACAAGAGGTCATTCCTTGTGGGGTGATATTCGGCTAAAAATATATATTAATATTACGTTATTGTCTTATATTTTATGCATCATTTTTTTTTGAGTGTTTTGAACTTATTCTGAATTTTATGTGATATTCGGCTAAAAATATATATTAATATTATGTTATTGTCTTATATTTTATGCATCGTTTTTTTTTTAGTATTTTGAACTTATTGTGAATTTTATGTGCAACAAATGTATTGAATGAACGTGAATACATGATAAAAAAGATGTGATTTTTGCTTCTTTTGAAGCAAAGAAACGAAAATTAAAGGATGACTAAGTCCTCACCTTGCAAGACACAAAAGTGAAGAAAAAAAACAAGAAATTTAAAATTGATCAAGTTTGCCACTGATTCTTTAGAAGTATAATTCAAGAAAGATTAATTGTTAATATATGTCTTCCAACTAATTGTAATCTCCTTGTGAATTATCATAATTTTATTTATTTTAAAAGTTTCATCATTGAAATGATCTAATTTTTCATAAATATAATAGAAATTTGTTTCATAGAAAAATGTGTATTTTTACAAATTACACTTAGAATGTCCAAGATTTTTCTTCTATAGTTTGAATTAGTTAAATTATTTCAATTCATATAAATGTTGAAAACTTGAAATAGTGTGAGAATTCAAAAATATAATTTTGAGAAACGTTAAGAGGAAGTGACAAGAAGATTCTGAAAGCAATTAGAGAAGAAATACATTATTTTTGGCTAAGAAATTTTCTTGCTGGACAAATTGAGGTTAAAATTTCATGACATGGATCTTCATCAACATATTTTTAACTCTTACACATTATAAATTAATAGATGATAAATATATCATTAACTTAAAAATTTATAAAGTTAGATTTAATTTTTTTCTTTTACTTTGTAATCTATAGATAGTGTTTTTTTTTATATGATATGGGCTATATTAACAAATATTTTTTTAATGTTAATATATTTACATTCAAAAATTAGAAAAGTTTGTAATTGACAATTAGATTTTTAAAAAAATCTAAGCTATAAACTTAATTAATTATGAAATAGGTGATATTCAAAGTTTTGGAACTAATTTGAGAAAATATTTAAAATTGTATGCATAAATACATGAAGATTTCATCCATTAATCTATTATATCTTAGCTAAATTTGTAACGAGATTATATCATATTTCCATTTATTTAATTTGTCACTTTTTGAATCCTTTTCTCTCTTTTTAATATTATATCTTTTAAAGAGTCAAATGATATAAATTTCAATCAAAATTTAATTAATATATATTTTCTTAATCATATTGATACATGATACATGAATAAAATTGCAATTAATAATACTTTCTATATAGTTTTTGAATACTTAAATCTTAATTTTAAAATATCAGATTAATCTGATCTTATTTAACTTTGAAAAATAAGCTTAGAGAAAAACAATATTAGTTGAATTAATTTTGGCCATAGGATAATAACTATCGTTTAGTTTCTTTTCTTTTCATTGTTTTATTCTTAACGAAGGAAATTTTCGAAAAACAAATATTTCATATTATCTAATGAATGAAACAAGAAGATATAATAATACAAAAAGTATTGTTCACCTAACTTTAATTTTAATAACAAACTTATTTAATAAAGATTTCATGAATATTTATAATTACTTTTTTATGCATAAACATGAAAAGTTTATCATATTTGTTTGACAAAAATGTATTTTAAAAAATCTTTTCTAAATTGATTAATGCACTGTGCGAAGCGCAGTTATATTTTCTAGTTAATGAATAAACTCAATGGACAATCATGAATTTATAGTAACATTTTTGAGTTAGGCTTATGTTAAATGGCCAGAAATTTTAAAAATCTATAATATTTTTTTAATTTTAAAATATATTGATCTTTTTTCAAATTTTTAATTAAAAGATATTAAAATTAAAAAGGTAAAAATGTTCAAAAATGTAAAATAACATGGGTAAAATATCATTCTGGCCAAATTTTTTAATCCTTTTGAGTTATTTGTCTAGTGAATGACATTTTGAGCTAATTGACTAATGACAAGGACATTTCTGAGTAAAAAATGCAACATATGATTAAATTGATCTATTTTGAATAATATATATATATATATATATATATTGTTGTTTATCCTTTTCGCTACATAAAATTAACTTTCACATGTTTCAGTAATGTTTTGTCTGGATAGATAGAAGAAAAAGTAAAAAATAGAGATCACTTCTGTTCTTTGTTTGCCATTACTTGTTTTTTGGAATAATAATTAGGAATCGTTTAATAAAGTATACTAACAAATACTTTTTTTGTCCCTAATTACTTGTGTATTTTTGAATTGACACACATATTAAGAAAACAATTATTGACATAGTGAGATTACCATTTTACCCCTATTAATTATGAGGTGGATGAATTAAAAACATAAAATTTTCAAAAAGTTCTACCATGTTCAAAGTAATTAATTGAGGATATAATAAATAAAAATATTTTATTTTTTCTTAATTTATCAAAATAAATAAATAATTAAAAAAAATAAAAATATAATGCATGCATTAATTTCGTTTATTGCACTCTTACATTTGAAAGTGTTAGAAGTAAGGGGGAAGTACGATGATACGGTCTCATAGGCTACCTAAAAGGAAGCGTAATTAATGACAATAGACCCCTCTTTTCTTGTTTGGGTCCAGGCTTCGAGGGAAGTTTGAAAATATTGAGCGCTGCTGCGTAAAACTAAGAAAAACATTAGCCCAAAGGTAAAATAGTGACTTAACCCTGCCATCATAATCTCCTTTTGCACGACATTCGCCCATTCTTCCCTCTCCCAACCAACCACCCACCCCCAAAACACTTTCGGTTTCAACTGAAAGGAGAATTCAATAGAGTTGGATTGATTAAAAGCATCCCCATTTGGAATCTACTACTTTCTTTCTCTCTCTCTCTGTCTGTAGCTTTTTTGCAATCTTTGATTCGAAGGAAGTTTCTTCGCTGTAACGGAAATGGGGAAACTTTATTCTTATTGAGCAGTTAAAAACAGTCAGATAAAGTGATTGCTGAGTGTAGTTCACGGTTTTTCTTCTTTTCTGCTATGGGGTTCTGAAGATTGATTTTTGATCGACTTGCTTATTTGATATACTCTTCTGTTAAGAAAGAGAAAGTTGAGTTTTGGGTGTTTCAATATTCAAAATTCAAAAGCTATGGCCTTTTCGTCTATTTTTTGCTGCGTCAAGGGTTCAGATCGGTATGTATGTGCTAAATTCGTTCAAAGCTATTACCTTTAATTGCTCTCCTAATTTCTTGTAAATTTCACCTGGTATTGTTCTAATTAAGGTTTATGTTTAGCTATTTGTACATGTTTTTTACTCGAGTGTTCTGATTAGACACTGTTGCATTTGAATAATTTCTTGCTGTGAAAACTTCTAGTTGTGTTAATTTGGGGAATGCTGATAAACGAAGTGCAGGAACCTATTTTCCCCCTTTTTTGAATTGATTTTCGATTTGAAATGATACAGAAAGGGGAAAGCGAAGAAGCAGCCATCATGGAGGGTTTTTTCTCTGAAAGAGTTGCACTCTGCTACAAATAATTTTAACTATGATAACAAGCTTGGAGAAGGTGGTTTTGGAAGTGTTTACTGGGGGCAGCTATGGGATGGATCTCAGGTAATTCACATCTATAATGTTGAATGTTTTGTTTTAGATTAAAAAATATACTATATGTCTTCTCCTCACCCTAAGGAGGTGTGATGTAGGCAGTCTACCCTTACTCAGACATCAGGGACTCATTCTAGGGATCCAACCCATGACTATAGGTCGGTCACGTGGTGACAACTTTATGTTGCTTCTAGGCTCCCCTTCTCCTTGTTAACTGATTGGAGCAATTATATGAAAAATTCTGTAGAGCTGCTGGAACACTATTGGTATACTTGAGTATATTCATATAGCTTTTGAAAATTCAGAATTAATTGCCCATAAGAGTTGGATCACGGTCATTCACTTGGATTTAGGGATCTCAGAGGAAGCTTTTCAAGGTAGTTGGTCGTGAATTTGTGATAGTAATTATGACTGTTAAATGATATAACAGGTTCTAAAGCCCTAGCTGGTAAAGAGATGAATCTTGAAGATCGTTTGGATTTTCTTTAAGAGGTTTCTTAGGTCTCTGATTCCATGGTAGATACTTTGAAAGGAGGTTTAGAAAAACATTTAATGGTTTTTTGGTAGGAAACCTCTATAATTTTTGTATAGTTAGTTCCAATCCAACAACAATCTTTTCTGAAATGTGGCGTCTCAGCCTCAATGGACAGGCATCTTCAAAGTTACTGACAGCCTTTTGAGCCCCTCCCAAATGGACAGGAAGAAGAGATTAGACTGGAATTTACATTTTTCACTTGGGTAAATCTGGATTACTTAGTAAATAACTTTCTCTCTGTCCTTCAACAAGTTCAAACATAAGGTAAAGGACCTATGACTATGGAGGAACACTGTTTGATGTCACCAGCAAACACCATCTGTTGTTACCATTCTTCTCTCAAATGTATGTTTGCTACTTTGAGTCACAACTCTCTACAATATCAGAGTTACTTCACAGTTTATTCTCAAACGGCAATGGCATTAGTAGTCAAAAGTTCCTCTATTAAAAAATGGTTGTTCATCCCCTTTACTCAAACTATAGTCATTTTTGTAAGTTTCTCTTTTTCATATCATAAATGATACATAAAGTAAAATTTGGATTTGTTGTCCATCTAATGCAATGCTCAAAAATGGCATGCGTGCAGTAGACCTGGTATTAGAACAATGAAAATAAATTCAGATATTGTTAAATGGGTTAAGAGACATTCCTAGACTGTCTGATTTACAATTTGTACACATTATTGTGATTTTACTGGGTTCGATATTCTAACTTAGAACTTAAGTTAAAAGAATTAAGCGCATAAGAGCATCTTTCCACTTCTAACCAACTCAGAGTCTTGTTTTTTCAATAATTGATGCTTAAGAATACATGAGCATGGCCTCCATAGGGATTCAAACCACATTTTTGTTGGAGGCTGCATGTAAGCTATTATGCTGATTTTTCATTGCAGTGTGAAAAGTTGTATGAAGGATCTCTTCTTTTTCCCTTTTTCACTTACTTCAACCCAAAAAGGAAATGGATCTCTTCTTTGTTTGATTCACTGGCCTTCTCTCATTAGATAGGGAAAACTAGCATGAAAGTTGCTTATAGAGATAATAAAACACATCTAACTGTGTCTTTGAAATGTAGATCTTTTTTCTCATCCAATTAATTTGGGATTGAGCGGTGATTAGTTGATTGATAGTTTGATCCGAATTGGAACTAGAAGTAGTCCAATTCAGCTGGAGGTAGGGTTTGTTTATGTGAAATGTGTGATCCGTTGTTCGCATCCTAATAATGGCAAGATTAGTTGAATTCTCACCATTTGCCTAATCTGGGTGGGTGGAGTTACCACATACCTGAGCTTGGTCGGAGGTAGTAGGTGTTCGAGGATTAGTCAAGGTGCTGTCCAGGACAGTACCTTTATTTTGGGGTGGGGATTTGTGGGGGAGGCGAGACTGTGCTAGGAAATTCCAATTTTCTCTTGCTTACATTACTTTAAGTCAGAAACAACCTCTCTACCCCTGAGATAGGGGTAAGCACTGCGTACACTCTACCCTCCCCAGACCCCACTTTGTGGAACTACACTGGGTATGTTGTTGTTGTTATATTATTTTGTGGTATTAAATTTAAATCCTTTCTCTGGCACCAATCATTCTTAAAACTTACCTTTACGGGATAACTGTCCTCACTGCCTGATTCTCCCTTCCGTGAACCTTATACTTAACCAGTTTGTTAGGTTAAGAACTCTTTTCAGTTTTTATAAATAGGTTTGGGATCTGCTATGATTCTTTCATACGGTAGTTTGATAATAACTTGCAATTCTGAATGGGATATCAGTATATATTTCTTTGCCATTTATTCCTCATTTTAGGGCTATTGATTCTTTAGATTTCTCTGCAAAAGTCCATCACTGTTTCACCTCTTTCCTATCTCACTACTTCTCTAATCTGATTTACTGGTTTCTTGTTGGTACTGCTTTTGTTAAGACTCTCTAAAGCTACTATCTATCTTCCAGCAAGTAGTAATCTCAAAACTGAGTCTAATTTCCATTTTTTTGCTGTAACAAATGTTTTAAAAATGAAACGTATCATTTTAAAGCTTGAGGAATCTTTTTAATTATCTGCTGGATCCTTGACATCTGTGTTCTAGAGATAAAAACTGTATATATGCTAATATCACCCCGGGGGCAATGGACACGTCTATGCCGGGTTATGTTGAGAGGAAGGGGCCAAATCCCCCCCCAAATCCTCCCGGGAACAAAAGGGGGAAAAAGATAAAGAAGAAGATACTTCTGCTGAAACCATGACATGGAATGCTTCTGTTGTAAAAGGTTGGTGGACAGAGTGATGTAGGCACGTTTAGAAGAAAGCTGACAGTGGCCGTGACTAGGAATATGTGCAAGTTGTATGTTCATTTATGTGTTTTTGCTTGCTTATCTTCAAAAGATTCATTTCTTGAACTAACATATTTTACTGAGGAATTATAATAAAAACTAAAAGGTAGTATGCAAGACTGGCAAAATATCTTTAAATTGAAAAGACATCACATGCCACTGAAGTTTGAGTCCTTCCATACAGTGTGTTACAATGAGTTGTATAACTTAACCTACTGATCATAGGGTTGTGCTTTTCTTAATGGATACATATTTTCAGATAGCGGTCAAAAGGCTTAAGGTGTGGAGCAACAAAGCCGAGATGGAATTTGCTGTTGAAGTTGAAATTCTGGCTAGAGTACGACACAAAAATCTGCTAAGTTTACGTGGTTACTGTGCAGAAGGCCAGGAACGTCTGATCGTATATGACTATATGCCTAATTTAAGCTTGCTTTCTCATCTTCACGGCCAGCATTCTGCCGAAAGCCTTCTTGATTGGAAACGACGAATGAATGTTGCAATTGGATCAGCTGAGGGAATTGCGTAAGCATTTAACATCCTGGATCCTTCTTTCTGACTCCCTTCCCCCCACCCCACTATCCTTCTAGAGCCTCTGGGGTGTTACAGGGTCTTATGTTTCCTCTTCATTTGCTTAACTCTAATGTGTATGACAGCTATCTACACCACCATGCGACCCCACATATCATCCACAGAGACATCAAAGCAAGCAATGTGCTGCTCGATTCTGATTTCCAAGCCCAAGTTGCTGATTTTGGATTTGCAAAGTTCATCCCAGATGGTGCAACACATGTAACCACCAGAGTTAAAGGCACTCTAGGCTATCTTGCACCAGAATATGCAATGTTAGGGAAGGCATCGGAGAGCTGTGATGTCTACAGCTTTGGTATTCTTTTGCTAGAGCTTGCTAGCGGCAAGAAACCGATTGAGAAGGTCGATTTAACTGTGAAACGCACAATCACTGATTGGGCTTTACCGCTTGTGTGTGAAGGGAAGTTGAGTGAACTTGCAGACCCAAGGTTGAGTGGGAACTACGTGGAGGAAGAATTAAAAAGAGTGGTTCTTGTTGCTCTCGTTTGTGCTCAAAATAGACCTGAGAAGAGACCAACAATGCTTGACGTTATCGAGCTACTGAAAGGAGAAGCAAAAGAGAAATTCACAGCTTTGGAAAATGATGAAATGTTCAAGATTCCTCCAGTAGTGGATGATGATGTTTTGTCAGGAACAGAAGGCAATGGAGACTCTACTGCTTCGGAGGAAAAAGAACGAAAACCAGAAATTGAAAAGATAGAGGTACAAGCTTAAGAGAATATGGGTAATTGATTGTGGCTTGTTCATATTGAATTTGTGTAGGACGTTCGGAGAAGAAATACTGATATCCATTACATGGAACGACAGGTACTTTTCTTTTTTGAATTGGAAGTATCATTTCATTGGGTTGTGCAGGAATGGATGTTATTGTTCTGCTCGTCTTTCGTGTGATTTTCTCGTGTAATATGTTGGAACACAAGAAATGAAAACTGTTTATATGCTGAATGGTGTTTGGTTGAAGTTGGTATATTGATTTGGCTTGGACTTTGTACCTTGGCCTCTGTCCAAATATGCAGCACATTGTTATAATGGCAGTGTTATGTTGAATATTCCTTTGAACAATTTAATTTGCCAAAGCTTGTTGCCTGTTGGATTTGAGCTATTCAATTGATTCCCATCTTCATGAATCAAGTTTAAATTTTTTTTCAAAACGATTTCGCATTTGATCAAGTTTTTGGACGTTCCGTGATTGAACCAAGTAGTGGCACTTTCGAGATATCACCTTGAAATGCACAAAAAAGTATTTTTATTCTGTTTGACTTGAGACATTAGCAACCTTCAACATAGATCTCGTCTTTTTTGTCATCCGTAAGTTCTCCACATCAGTACTCATTTTTTTTTTATATAACTTCTTTTCCACGTCACCCCATCTCATTGTTTTTTATTTTATTTTTGCTATCTTGATGACTCGAACTCACAACTTTAAGGTTGAAAGTGAGGGATGCTTACCATCCGAGCAACTCTATCTTGTCACTCCACACTAGTACTCAGTCGCTACTCTTGAGGAGAGAAAATTACCAGTAGTATTGAAGTTGCTATTCAATTAAAAAATAAAAAAGGCCATGAGGGGAGGAAATGAAATTTGGAATATAAATAAAGTTGTTGGGGGTCTTCGTAAGGAACTCCCCCACCTCCCAATGTGCAATTTTGGTTGGAAAATTCCACTAGTTTATACTTGGGTAATAAATCGTTGGAAAGATGACATTAGTTTAAATTGTACTCCCTCCGTCCCTATTTAGTTGTCCACTTTAAAAATGACACACAGATTAAGGCAACAATGATTAGCATAGTGAAGTTACAATTTTACCCTTATAGTACAATTTACAATTCCAAAATAAATTCACTCAAAATAACTAATCAATGCTGGAAAGTTCATAAGTTTATTTAATTTATTTATGACAACTTTATTTAAATAAGGGTATAATAGGAAAAAAATTATTGTCCTTTCTTGATTTGTCAAAATGGACAACTAAAAGAGGAAATATGGACAACTAAATAGGGACGGAGGGAAAATCGTATTTCTTTTAAATTACATTTTTTAAACTAATACAATTTTCAAATTTCATTTAAAAACTTTTATTCTTTGCTAGCATTTGACCATAAATTTTGGATTAAACTTTGAAAAATTATCTTCACGAATTTATTTGACTATGAAATTTGATTTGATTTCGAAGATTTATGTTCAAAATATTTTAGGAGAAATTTTATTTCCACTCACAAAAACTTTAATTTTTTAAAAAGTAAAATGCATGTCCAAACATAACTTCAAGTTTCAAATATGACAACTTCAATAACTCAAATTTTGAAGTTGAAACTTCAAAATTTATGGCCAAACAGGAGCAAACAAATACTCCATCTTTATTTCTTATCTTACCCCGTTTGGACATGATTTGAAGGAAAAATCACCCCATATACACATTTAAGAGTCAATATTACAGGTTTTAAATCTACTTTTAAAAAATTCTTGCTTATAACAGTTTAATTACGGGTTATAACATATCACTAATTATTTATAAATTAATTAAATTTTACTTTATTAAATAAGTAATTTTTTTATAATTTTATATTATTATTAAATTATTTAAATAAAGAATAGCCCATAATTATCTCTTACACAATTATAGGGATTTATTGATTACACTCCCTTATTTAATGTTATACTCATAACCTCCCATTAGTCAATCCCACCACCCTTCCCCCACACATATCCAACTATACACGCTATCACCCACTTTCACCATCTCCTCTCCCATTTTTTTCACCAGCCAACTACACCAACATTCAATCTTTCGTTCAATTTTTTTTCCAACAAAACCATGTCTAAGAAACCCATTGAAACGCCTCAAAAGAGTCCCAGATTGGGTGAAGGAACATCTAATGATGATGTTCATGTTTCAAATTTTAATATATTAACTCAACCCCCCCCCCTCCCCCGCCTAAAATTGTTGAAAATTCGATGAATATTCAAAATTCGACGACGGATGGTTCATCTAAGTTGAAGGAGCGACAAAGAGAGAAAAAATGAAGAAAAAAAAAGGTCACCCCTGCAAATCAAAAGGGGAAGAAGAGGAAGGGGAAAATTGTTGAAACCCCTTCTGATTCCGATTTTGATTTTGTTACTGAAATCAAAAAGAAAAAAAGAAAAAAAAACAAATGTAGAAGTTGGAGCATCTTCAAAACCATCAACAAGAAGAACAACAAAAAGTTATTTTTTTTAACTTTTGGACAATTTTTTTCTGTTTAAGTATTTGATGATATATAATATCATATGTTTTCTTTCAGGCAGATATCATTTACATATAAATTACTGATTGTCTATTACAATTTCAAGATACTATTTTGAAAATATCAGTGTGTTTTCAAACTGTACATTTATTTGATGGAATCTCTATGAAATCTGATTAATAAGTGTATGACTACGCTTAAATGTTTTGATTTTGAAAATTTTATGAATTGTGATATAATAATGGTATGCAAATGGTATGAATTGCGTTTTAACATTGGTGTGATTGTCTATTAACTGTGTTTATGATATAAATTATTAAATTGGTATGAAAATTGTATGATTTGTCAAACTACTGATTTTTTCTAAAAAAAATCACATTATGCTTACTTTATATTCTAAACATGTTTTTGGATGAAACGTGTATGAAGTATGATTAATACGTGTATACCTATGAGTTTAATATTTTATTGTTGGATATTGTATGAATTGTGATATAATATTGATATACAAATGGTATAAATTGTGTGATTATATGAATTTATCAATTTTTATACATGTTGTTTGGATAAAACGTGTATGAAATTTTGATTAATATGTGTATCACACTAACTGAAGTTAGTGTAGGAATGAAACACTAATTGCAATTTGTTTTAAATTTATTTATAGTAGGACACCAGTTGAAAACCAAATTAATATTCATGTAAACTTACATTAAATTAAATACTCAGGATACCATAATTACCTTTTATAATTATCACTAATATTTACACTATTTTATGTATTAAGCTGGAATAAATTTTATTTTTAACAGTATGCAATCTATATGATTAATGAATGAATAGTGTATAAAGAATGAATGATATATTAAACACTAAGTTTATAATGCACTTCAAACCAATTATGTTTCATATCAAAACAAAACATTAATCTAAACAACAAAATAAAATAAAAATTATATATAGTCTAAACAAATAAACAGTCATTAGTTTTGCACAGGATAATTTGAACATGATTCATGTTGTGGTCAACTTGACAATATCTACTGCAAGTAACTTTGGACCTTTTGAATTTCACATCAGCAACCCTCTTTCCTGTATAATTCATTTCATTTAAAAATCAACATAATTCTCTGTTTCATTAAAAAAATAAAAATTAGTCTAACATTATACAAATCAATTAGAAATATATTAAATAATATTAACTTTTCATTCCAAAGACAATACAAATTTCATCCATAAAATTTATTATAATAACAACAAAATTATACACACTCGTCATTATTTTTTCATAAAAATATCACTCAGACAGTACATTACAAAACAAATTTCATACAAAACATAATATTTCACATTTAATACTCACTTAATACACATTTCATACAACAATCATCATTCATACCAAATTTATACATTTTCATACTCATTACTATACATTTCATACAAAACGATTATTCATTCAAACTATATACATTTCTCGTCCCAAATAATTAATTATTGTCACCAACTTTATACAGAAATAACAAAACTAATATAAACTCAACAATTTCACATTTAATACCAATTTAAAACACTTGTAATACACTTCGTCAAGAATTTCAATTTTTTTTTACATATTTCTTAACACACTTTTCATACATAATTCATTCGACTTATACTATCAAATTCATTATCAAATAAAATAAATTTTCATAAATTCGTCAACATTATAATTAAATTATTTTTACAGGATAATTAGCACACTTTCATACAAAATTCATTTAATTTATTCTATCAAATTTATTCATAAAATCACATTAAATTAATAATTTCACAAAACAACAACCATATACAAAATAAACAAATAAACAAAAAAACACTAAATATTTTACATTTCACAACAGTAAACATAATATGATATCAACAGTTAACAAAATATGACTCCACCTTCAATTAATCGACAGTTTGATCATTTTTGTTTCATTTCACTATTATTCTAAAACAAACGTTAAACAATAATAAATACTAACCCGAAGGATCCCATCTTTTACCATGTTTGGTTAAAACTGATACATAGTTTTCCATCACAACAAAATCAAGAATTTTCAAAGATGAAAAAAACTTCAATTACTCGAATGTGAGATTTTTTTTTTGTTGAAAATTGAAGAGAGAAACGTTGAATTTTTTTTGTTGCAAATTGAAGAGAGAGAAACGTTGAAAAAGTAAAAGATAAAATCTGAATTTTTACTTGATTTTAACTGATTTGAGTGAATTAAGGATACTAAATAATCTTAATTAGTTTAAATCCCTTAATTTGTGCTATTTATTAATTATCTAAAAAAAATGATATGATCTGATTTTTTAGTTTATCTTAACTGATTTTGAATGAATTAAGGATAAAAAATATTGTTAATTTGTTTGAATCCCTTATTTCATGCTAATAATTAATTATCTACAATAAATTCAAATTAAATTACAGGCCACACTTTCAGTTTTTTACTTTATTATCTCTAATTCCATTTTTTTTAAAATTTTCGTTTATCTTTTCTTTTTCTTTTTAACTTTTTTTCGAATTAATAAAAACATTTCTTTTATTTGTGAATTTGTTATAACCTGAATTTTTTAATGTTATAGCTTGAAAGTCTAAATCTACTGCTATAGCCTGAAAATAGTACTATAATATATGATATATATGAAATTTACACTGATTTGAAATCAGATTGAATTGAAGTTGAAGTTTTGTT